TTGGAGCACAGTTCCAATTCTAGAGCCGAAACCGAAACCGAAACCAAGACCAAGTCCAGGCAGTAACGCGGGGGAATTTCCGGTCCCAGCTCCAGAATGGTACTCAGTAGTGCAATTTTTGGCAATCTTTGGTGGCAGGGGGCAGGCGAGAATGAGGAGGGCAAAGTGGGGAATGAGTAGTGGGCAGGCTGGGCAAAAGCAAATCAACTGCAAAGCAAAAATGCGCTGAAAATGTAGGTTGAGTGCTGCCTCAAAAAATAAGTTCAAGCACAAATGTGCCACTTGCTTTAAAGCTGAAATAGTGAAGTGAATAATGAAAGGATACTGAAAATGAAAGGATAGTTGTGGGATCCCTTCTATATTGGTCCACTTTAAACCATAAACCTATTGATCGTACTGTTAATGTCTTATTTTGTATCCACTCTTGGAGACTAATGCCAAATATTATATTCGATTATCTTAATTGTTTTAATAGAAACACCTTGAAAGTAGTCGATTTGTAATCTTCTTGACTAGTAAGAACTTTAAGACTTAATCTAAAATACAAAGAAGAAAAATATAAATAAAATATACAAATTTAAGAAAGATTAAATTTCGAATACAAATAGTGTTATTTATTCAATATTTACTCAAATTGCAATATTTTGTACAATATAATCAACTAAACTAAATTCATTTCTACATTGAATATATTTTTTTGTAATTGTTTACTTTTGTTCTCAGCAACATGTATTAAAAGATTACAAAATGACCACCAAATCATCCTCTTATTAATATAAACACTATAATTATAATGACATCTTTTTTCTTGAATTTTCATTTAACTTTGTATATATATCAACTATACTCTCTACACGAACGCCAGCGCAGCTTTTGAAGTTGTATTCGCATTTAAATTTTAATATCTTAATGCTGTTCGCTCTGGGAGTAGAGTGATATATCACAATTAAGCAGTCTGGCCATTTTGACCCACAAAACACAACCGAAACCAAATGCATCCAGCTGCGGAAGGGGGTCAATTCTTATATTTTTATTTTTAATGCACTTTGATAGATTGCATTTGGCAGGCAGGCAGCAGGCAGCGGTTTAGTGGAGCAGTGTGTTAATTTGTATATGGCCACATGTAAATTGGGGGAAATTGATAAAGTGTGGGCAGCCAAGTGCCGCCAAGTGGCAAGCAAGTGTGAAAGGGCTGACCTCAAAATAAAAAAAAGAAGAGAAGAGATCTGAAGAGATAGAGCGGGGCACATATTCCGAGGGGGCTTAAAAGAAGAGTGTTATGTATATATCTATATGTGCCTGTCATTTAGGAAATACTTGAAAGTAGAATGAGAATTCAAAGAGAACATTAGGCATATTTTTCAATACAAGCTAACTGATCATAAAGAGAATGTTGTATAGATAATGACGCTGCTAAAAAAAACTTAAATAAACTGATGTGTACAATTTAGAATCGTTATTCCTAAGTCAAGGAAAGACGTCTTAAGTTCAAAATTGTTTATAACGATTCATTAAGAAACAGTTATCAACTTCAAATAAAAATATACAAAATTAAAATAATTGAAAGCAGTGATGACGAGATATAAACTAATAATATATTTAATTAATTTATTCTTCGATTTTAAATTTTTATTGATTTAATTTTTTATATAATTTTATTTTATATAAATTTAATTATATGTAATTTGGATTCGTAATTTTTTAGACCACATTAAATAAATAAAAACAAATAAATAAATAATAAATAAAAATATATTTGTTAGTTTTTTTAGGAATCCGCTTAAATTCCCGTTTAACATGAATTTAGTTTACACGGTATTCGCCAGGAACCCAACTCTAACGGGGGTTACCTGTATATCTAGGATCCGATATGACTTTTTCTGCCTTTTATATACTTCATGCTGCCCTCTTCCCTGTTTAGCCATTCTTAACAACAACGAACTGAGCACAATCAACTCGTTGTCCAAACAAAAATCACTTTGAATTTAACTCTTTAACTTAAGCGGCAGTCTGCTAATATATAATCTCTCTATCTAGTTACCTCTCTCCCTCTCTCTCTGTCAAACTGTTGCTCTGCCTGGGTGCAACTTCCCCATTCTGCATCTACACATTCCACATTAGCAAATTTCTATGGAAAAACTCGAAACAATGGCACACAGCATCAAATTTGCATATTACATCAACATGTTGCATGCCAACTGCAGTTGTTGTTGTTGTTGTTGTTGTTTTGTTTCTAGTTTGTTGTTGCAACGAATTGCTGCATATATGCGTATGCGTATGCGTGTGTGTGTAATTGAGTTAAGCGCCCTGCACTTGCGCATGCAGGCTTCGCGCTAAACGAGCCATGCCACAAGAAGATGCAGCAGAAGAAGAAGCACAAATCAAGACGAAAACCGAAGCCAAGCCTTGGAATGATGCAGACGCAGAGTGATCAGCGGCTATTGTGTGAGTGTTCGCAGTGAGTGCGTGAGTAACGAGTAACGAGTAACTCGGTTAGCATTTGATTCACATTCGCATTTGCTGCTGCTGCTAAACAGCGGCTTGCCATCATCTTTGTGGGGGGGCCCAAGTTTAATAAATATTTGGAGTCTTTAATATGAGCTCTGGGAACGCTGATGAAAGAACGACCTCCTTCAGCTGTGCACCGCATCGCATCGCATCGCATGGCAAACTTGCTTCCTTCCCATGTGCCCTTTTATCAAATACATATGTGCATTCGTATATAGATTTATGATATGTATATTTATACATACATATGTATGTGTTCCTGCATGCTTTAATTGCCATTTCCCGTTTTAATGAATTGTTTATGATTAAAGAAAAAAATACTCGCTATATGCATGCATTTAAATGCAGTCAAAGCAGCAGAAGGAGAGGGAGGGGGGGGGGGGCGTGGGTCATGGCAAAAAGCAACAAGAAAAACAACAACAAGAACAACAACACACACAGAAGCCGGGCAATTGCTGTACCCATTTTCATTGCTTCCGTTCACTGCACTTGCCAAATGGCAGCGTGCTGCATTTTGTATACCCTACCCGGGGTATTTTAGTTTTGTTTACCGTTCCATTTTTTTCGCCTTAATCTTCATCTGCATTCGAGAGAAATTGATCAAACTTTTTTTTTTTCAAATGGAAAATATAAATCTAAGCCCAACATATTTATAAATATTCTTGATAAGCAACAACGTTGGCCTCCTTATTACTTGTTCGTCAAGGCTTATCTTGCCTCAGTTCAATAATACAAAATAAAATAAGAATATATACATCATGCATAAGATCAGTTCTTGTTAGGGTATTCAATATTCGTCGTTACGAATATGAGTGCTTTTTTCTTGTTTTCGGGTGCGCAACTGTTTGCATGACTAACGGAAATCGTTTTCATTTGTTTAGCGCTTGGCATTATACCTAGGTGCATAAAGAGGTACACCTACTCCCCTCTCTCTCTCACACTCTCTCTCTCTCGCTGCCTCACTCTCTCTCGCGGTTAGAGACCCCTTCAAACTATAGACTTATTTAGCGACAAGGGCATGGCTTTTAAATGCATTGCTGACCGCACCAGGTTTGGGTGTTTTGGGGTTTGTGAATATGAGCAATGATTGTTATGATTGGGGTATTTGTGTGTGGCATGTGTGTTGTGGGCTTAGCCTTGGCTCCAGTTGCTATGGATTGAATGCCCTGCACAGACACACATATGTCGAAAAAATATGCATATTTCATAATAGGGTGCTGACTGAGTTGATGGCAAGCGAGCAAGCGAATTGAGTATTAGATTTAATAAGCGATAATTTGCGAGGGAAAACGTTGCATTCGATAAAAAGACGAACAGCACTGAAAGCAAAGGAAAATGTTTTAAATAACAAGAAAAAAAGGAAGAGTCGAACGCAGTTTTAAATCAAAGCCTATCTTTATTATGCGCGAGAGCAACTTAACTTAGATGCAAAAAGAGAAACACTGCTTCGATATTAATCGATATAAAGCGATACATAAGTATTAATCGTTGCTCTGATATTCAACCATATTCAACCATATTTCAACATCAAATATTAAAAATGTCACATATATCAAATACCACTTCCATAATTGTTCTTCTGCTTGTGTTCTTCTTGCAAAGCAGACCACAAATGATTCACTTCGGTCAATTCAAAAATAGATTGACTACCTCAACAAAATTGTCATAAAAATTCTACTTAATTAGATTAGTCAACCCAATCAAGCAAAAAGTTGCTAACCAATTATGAAAATAATAGCGCCTTATCAGTGTTCCTTTGCCGTTATCAAAAAAAAAGAAAAAAAAAAAAACTAAAACTAAAAAACACAGTTAAAAGAAAGCACCGTTCCAGTCTGTAGGGCTGACATCATGCAATTATACCAAACATGAACTGGCTAAAAAATAAACATGGCGACGAACGCGAATGAAATTTAAATTGTAATTGCGCTCGCGTTTGTCGGCTGGATTGTGGGAGTTGTTAAAGCCCAAGTGGATGACATCATAGCAGCTAACTATCCAGGGGGAGGAGGGAGGGATGAAGGGAGGGTGTGTAGTCATTTGCGTGTATGTGTTGGGGGTGTTAAGTGCGTGCCAAGTGCAAAGTGTGTGCCGCCCTATGTTGTTTGGGACATGTATTCAGACTAGATATGGAATACATATTTATGTAAAATGAAGTTGCGAGCTTCGGCCAAGCAATACAATTACATTTGTAATACATTAATAAATATGACAAAAATCTAATTAGAAATTTACTTAAGTATTTATTTTGTTATTAAATGAAATTTAACATAATTGCAAATTTTTGTTTTGATAAACTGAAAAATTGGCTGCATTCAATTAAAATAAAAACTATATTTATTTCTATTCTTTCCAAAACCCCATTACACTCTCTTGCATAAAAAACAAATATCCTCTGTCCTGCGTCTCCGCCCCAACACCACAACCAACCCCAAAAACAAAATGGTTTGAAAAATACAAAAAAAAAAAAACAAAAAAAAACAAAAACCATATAGAAAGACGTGGCGCCCTGGCATCAGATGTGGACGCATATGAAACGCCTCTCGCACGCCTCAAAAGTCAACTCGACGAACAGTCTGACGGCCCAGAAGACAGACGTGGGCGTTGGCCATCACCAACTGACAGCAAACACAACGACGGCAACAAAAGCAACAACGACAACAATTAATGGTGGCACTGGCAGAGCAACAATGCCAGGCAAATGCATTTTGTTTCCGGATAAGACGTCCTCACTCAAAAGTTCCATGTATACGCAACAGGTGTACTTCAGGCCCGATATGGTAGGCGAAAAGATCCATAATAGTTGCATAGTTTTCTTTCGCATGGTTGTGGCGACACACAAATTTAATGATACAACTTGGTTTTGGTTATATCATACACTCCACGACACTTGCTGCTCTTATTGTAGTAACTTCCATAAGAGTAAGCTACATTTATGAATTAATTCTCTCTCAAAAAAAAAAAAAAAAAAATACCACAAAAATTTGTTTATATTTTTGTAGTTTGTTTTTAGTTTGTAGTTGCACCAAACTATTTTACGACACTGAAAAATATTTTCCATGAATTTTCACTTTGATTGTACAAAAAAAAAAATCAAAATTTCTGATGAATTTTAAGTTTAATTTGAATTTATTTTGATTTTTGGTTTATGGTTCTTGGCTTGGATTTTGTTTTTATAGTCTTAAATCTTTCTAATGGTGCACAGTTTTTGCCTGATCTTTTTAAATAGTGCACATTGAGAAACTTGCTTTCATAGCTTTAAATATTTCTGGTATTTGGTTCTTTGCCTGGTCTCATTAAACAATGCATTTTGAGAGACTTGTCCTTGTCTGACTAGAAAAACACTTTAAGTCACCCTCCATAAATATTTCCCAACTTTTTTAATAATACGAATATTTGCAAGGCAGCTTCTGCATAAGCTGCTCAAAGTTTAACGTTGCATTAAATGCAATGCATAAAAATGGTAATAACAATCATAATCATAATCATAAACCTCAATGCAACAAAATGCCAGTTGTTGACTTTACCAAGGCAACCCAGCGGTTAAAAGTGCACCACAAAAGCCATTTCGCGTAACGCTTCTGAGCATGCTTAGTTGAACTTTATGTTTTTAGCTATATATACATATATATATATATATATACTTCTGTTCAAAAGCAGAAATCAGCTTTAAGAAAATTCAAATAATTTATTTAAATTATTTATGAATCATTTCGATCAATATTTGAATGGTAAGCAATAATACAGGAAAAATATTGCAATATGTGTATTTAAAAATAATAAAAAAAACTAGACGACTACTAAATACACTGTTACACTGTTAGCAGGTGATAACAGGAGATAAAGGACAGTTCTTTAAAAAAGTGTTAACAAATCTATTTTACTCAATAAATGTACAGATGACATTTCAAACGAGACTGCTGAACAAGTGCAGACTGATTAGGGACAAAACTTAAAATGTCATTGCATAAAATTGCAAGTATATATATATATTATATGCAAGTCAGTTTCTCGTCGGCCATAAACTATAGATAAATCAGCTCACGGTCACAGAGTGAAGCGTGAAATGAAGTCGTTAGTCGAGAATAACAGAGTATGTAATGGCTGTGAAAATGACCCAGAACGAGGGAGTGGGCACAGTTCGAGGTGTTTAGTGTGCACCAAAGGTCACCATATGCAAATAGGTCTTTTACATGTCTTTTGTGTTTATTCTTTTATTTTGAACTGACATTTTGTCCATTATCAGCTGAGGAAAAACCGGCTTAGCTGCGCATGGCAGTTGGCTGTTGGCAGTTGGCAGTTGGCAGTTGGCTGTTGGCTGTTGGCAGTCATATTTCTGTTTTGTGAAAAACTTGTACAAGCTTTACACTGCGAAGCCACATTAAAAACTTCATTAACATAATTGATGCGCCATTGAGGCTGTTGTTTGCCGAGCTCTTCCACAGTATGTTGGCTTGGGGCGGCAGTCGAATCGCTGGACAGGTTTTCCGGCGTATACTCAGCTCCGTTGAACCGGTTTACGGTTGTCGGCTAACTGGGAGCCAGTCTCTGCACAGATAATGAGCGGTGTCTGTTCACCAGTTCGTCAGATTCGTTTTGTACACGCCGTGATTCGGCTCTCGGTTCTGCCCTACTACTGAAATACCAGCTCACTGTAATTTTCAATTTTTCATTTTGACTTGCTGCCGGTTTGTCTGAGACGAATGCAACGAGTGCGACCAAATGTGAGCTAGAACATGTTCATGATGATGATGATGATGACAGACTTTCCATCTTATTGGACAAGCCAGAAACGGAGCCAATACGACCATGGTAATGCGAAATTGGAAATAAAACTGTTCAAGTTGTCAGGTGGTTAGAGAGTTGTTTTTATTATTTTTGCGATTAGCTACTGTTTTTTTGAGTTAATAGCTTGCATTAGTTATGACCCAAATTTGAGGCTAACTATCCCGCTAAACATAATTTGATTGTATATCAAAAATATGCTACTTTTTGTCACAGTTGCAGAGATAATGCCAACTGAGTTTTTCCTGCATAAATATATACTTAGATACTCGCTTCCCAAATAATTTATTCACGCATTCAAATATAAAGCAATATAATTTATTTTTTAATTATTAATACTCAGCTTATCAAAAGGTAAATTTAATTTTCTGAAATTAAATTAATTTAATAGTCAACTCTCCTCAGTCCTGTTCTTTGGTTAACTGCCGCCAAGAAGAAGTTTAAAGAAGACACATCAAAGAGAATATAATTAAAAGTCAAAAGCCGCTTGTCCCTAGCCGTTTTCAAGCCGTAGACAAGGCGTATTAAAATGCTGATCGGTCGCCACATGTGTTGCAACACTCGCTTGTAATTATACCACCAAGGGGCAAGTTCTCTGCCATGTATCAAAAGCTCCACATGGCTATTTTTTATTGGCGCTGTAAATTATGCGGGCAGCTGCTAAAAATTTAATGAAATTTCACTTACAACAAATGCTTTACAGATATCAATCAATGAAATTTTTATATGCTCAGCTATAAATTTCGATTTTCATGCGAATAAAAGAACCGAGAACAGAAACAATGCTCAGATTAGCGAAGATCTAATACTCTGGCAGATGTTTTGTTCAATTTAATTTAGAATATCTGTGGGATTAAATAATTGGGCATAGAGGAAAGTTCGATAAAATCCATCAATCGAGGAGACTATCTAGACATGCTTGTCTGTCTGCCTGTCCGACTGCTTATTTGTCTATCTGTTCGTCTGTCTATCTATCTGCCTGTCCGTGTCTATGAACACGCGGATCTCAGAGACTAGAAGAGTTTGCCACTTAATAGTTCTCCTATACCACGCGTACATCAATATCGATGAAATCATTAAATATATTGCTTTCTAATTTGGTAGGAATACAACTTGGCATTGAACAATTACAAACGAACAGAGTTGTTAAGAAAATCATATATTAATATTTAGGCACTGCAGATAGAATTTTAAAAGCAAAGAAAAGTCACTTATATACTTAAAGTTGCCAGTTTCTCATACTATAAGGAAAAAAGCAGTTGATATTAAATATTTCAAAAATATTTTACAAGTAATTTTTGGTCTAATTAAATATTTGAATAAAGTAAATTGATTTGACCGATATTTGTATATAGAAACCAACACAATTTAACAGAGACTTTTATTTATGTCTAGGCGATGACTAAACATGCAAGTTTATACTATTTAGAAAGGTAATTAATGACCTATTTTATCGTATAGATGTGCACAGGTTTTATACATAAACGGAAATGAAAAGTATCAGAAAAATGCTGAAAGTTTTGAAATTATTAATGGCTCTCGTTGTATATATTTCGATGTTTCGACATATGCATACAGCTGCAGTCAAAATAATAATTGTTTTTTAACACAAGCAATCAATACTGAAAATAAGCAAACATTGAAAGATGGGAAAATAATCAAGAAAAAAATGATAGTCTTCAAATTTAACAGAAGTGAGCGAATAAAAATAATAGTAGTTATATATACACATAAAAGAAGACTAAAATACTAAAAATTTCCTTTAATGCGTTTCAAATCTATGCACTAAATTATAATACCCTGCGGTAGGGCATAAAAAAATATCCAGCAAAGCCTCCTGGGCAAACAGGTTCCTGGATCAGACAAAGGCAGCCGCAAGGCATGCGCCGCATTAATAACATAAATGGCAAAGCCACAAAGAGACTATATATATATATATATATATTATATATATATGTACGCATTCAACTCATAGTAGTCATACATAATGCAGCCGTGGAATCTATGTATATATAAAAAGGCAATTTATTATTGCGCCCAGCAAAGTGCAGTAAAAAATGTGAACAGGCTCACTCCAAGAGTCGGAAACTGAATCAGAGACAGAGCCTAAGCTGATGCGACATAAAATTCAATTCGAGGCAATCTTTTTTTTTACTTTTTGCCAGCAGCGTCTTGAAATCATATTTGATATTCAATATATGGCCGGAGGCCGTGCCGAGCTATACAATATAAATCATCACTAAAATCAAGCCAAGTAAAAAGAATAAGTAACAAATTTGTAGTAGCGGGAGCTCGACTAGTAGATGCCCTATCATTAGATATTCAAATAAAATCAAACCAGATATATATATTCTTACCAAATTATTAAAATTGTTATTGGTAATCGATAGACTAAATTATCGTTATTCCAAATTTGAAGAGTCCAGCTCTTATAGAAAGATGGGCAAACGAACAGAAAGAAATGAAAGAAAAAATGAATATATATTTTATGAGGCAGGAAATACTTCTTCTGCTTATTCATAACATCCTTTTGACACACTTTAATGGGTATATACGTATAAAAATGAAAATGCTGCAGAAGCGGAAGTTAACTTTAAAGAGCACAAAATGTTGATGGAAACAAAGGCAGCCCAGGGATTCAATAAAGTTCTGGCAGCTGTTTCTCTAGGCGATACAATCGGTCCGGGAATTTCCACTTGTTTTTCCCCATTTCGCATTGGCATTGTCCCTTTGGCAAATATCAGTTCGGCATCAGTTTTTGAGTTTTTGAGTTTTTGCCACGGTTCGTTAGTGGCTGCCAGGTCTCTGTGCCCAACTGTTTGACATTTTCTGCTTTTTCAGTCAACATTGAACCGTTGCCAGACCCAAAAGCAATGACACGAAGTCGGATTGCAGGCCTTTTATTAGTTATGTATCTTTTGCCTTGTTTATTTTGAAACCTGCCAATACACGTTAGGTAAATTCGAACTGAAATGTGGGCAGCCACATGTTGTTG